GACCTTTGAGCGCAAAGTTTTGGAAAAAGTGGAGGAGGTGACAGATTGGTCGCTTGGTGATTGACAAGGTAATTTTTCAGAAGAGACAATTTGAGTGGTCCGGAAGCATTTCTGAACTTTGTTATGTGTCTATTTCTGACGAACAAAGACATTTACAGCAGCTCAAAAAAAAAATAAAAGGTTTAGATGGGTTGCAGAAGGCGGAGAGAATTCTTTTGTATAATTGTTTCGATAAAAAACCCAAATCATGCCATGGACAGAATTGTAATTCCTTAACATTGTTGTGTCTTATTATTGTTTTCATTATATTTTGTTTTTATTTACTTGCTTCAAAATAAAAGTCGAACTAACCAGGAACTTTCTGAGGTTTAGAAAACATTTTCCAAACTAAAGCTTATCTAATCCCTCCGCGGACCACGTCGCTTATGGTTGATAATGCATTGACTATGGAATAACAATAAAAACTTTCGGAAGAAGTCATGTGCGAAGAAATTGGTATCAAGATTTTGAGGCATGCACGTCAGCCTGTCGTGTTAGGCGAATATGCAGGGTGGCTGAAAAGTACAGGGTGTTCCATAAATATTGCACCAAATTTTGAGCTCAAATTCTGTAGGTGTTTATAGCTTTTCTTCCGAGATTGGCAGACCTTTCAATCCTCTATCCTCTTGTCAATGACCATGCCAAATTCCACGGCTTACCGTTCGGCCTGCATCTCATGGTGCGCCTAAACTTCAAAGAGTGCCTAACCTCTCACACAGCTAGGTCGGACATCCGGTGATGAGCATCGCGCTTCTTTGGATTTTCAACCGCTCCGCGGCCTACCGTGTACTGAAGAGAAGACCAATAAAAGTAGTCTTTGTTGCGGCCGCCCCACAAGTTCTGACATCTTGGATCTCAGGAAAAGCATGAAGAAGCGAAACGACTGCAATACCCGGGTTGGCTCGAGAAAGGTGACCAGAACGCTGGAGTTTCTAAACACAGCCATGTAGAGCAAACAACTGCTCACAGTCCATAAGTAGTTGCATAAGCACCACTGCTCAATCCAACTGGAGGAGCACAGCAGAGGCCAGAGAGAAAAAGTTCAAAGAGCTGGAGTCGAGGGGCCGAAAATAGCCGAGATCACGGTGGGGCGTAGAAGCGATGGCAAACCGTAGGTGTCCAACAGGGTCCGTAGTCGTAGCGACGTTTGTATGTGAACATCGGGCGCCCTTTGTCGAACCCCCCGTCTTCCCACCCCCCCCCCCCCCCGCCCCCCTCGACGCAAAATTCCTCACATCTAAGCGGAGTGACGATCTTCAAACTGAATATGCCTGCATGAGGTCTTGAGGAAGTCAGTGAGAGTGAAAAGGAATATTCGCCACAAGCAGCAGCCGAACCTTATCATGGTCTGGACGGGGGTCTCAACTACCGGTCGCTCACCATCACTGCCTGTTTACAAAGGAATACAACTTGATACTAGACCGAGCCAAGGGACATTTCGGTGCACCATCTGTTACTGAGGTATCTAGCCACTTTGAGGAGGGGTGATGATCTTTTCAATAGAACCCAGCTTCTGCATTGAAGCTTTATGTATAATTGCTCACTTGTGGCAGTCGGAGCGTCATTTGAAAGTGACTTGGCTCACACAATAAAATGGTCCGAATGTATACAGCCGTATTTGTGCCTATTTGTGTTAGTCCTATCTGTGATCTTAATGCGGTATTCGGGAGGCTTTCTAGACCTCAACGAAATTAGAGCCGTGCCCTTGGTATGTGGCGTCACGTTTTCCTACACGACGTCTACCCGACTAACATCATTCGGGATCAAGGTTACGAAATGTGAAGGTTGTGAAGTCCCAATCGTAGTACTACTTGATGGAACCGAGTTTGAGTCGTTACGGTACATTCGACAGCAAATGCCGAGCACGTCACTATTTGAGAATGCCCCGCTACCGCAGCCTGGTGGGCTTTCCGATCAAACTTTTTGAACGCCTCAAAAGAACCAGCAAATCCATCAATAGGACGCTTCAACAGTTTTCTCGTCCTTATTTCCATTTCTCTGTTTACCTTTACCAACTGTTTTTTGTTGCAGTGGGAGGGCCGGCAAATGATTTAGTTGTCAGTAAGCATCTGCTTACCACGTAAGTCATGTTTTGGAATGAAAATCGTTTATTGTAATCGTTCATGCCAACAGGGTTCTTCCACGCAGCACGAGGCCTGCTTTAAGCTAGCGAAGCCCCACTATGAGTAAAGACTATGATAACCTGGACCCGACTGAACTTGTACAGCTGCCCCCCCCCATACCGCCTTCCCACAGCATTGTGTTGACTACATCCCGCCTGAAAATGATCTGCTTCGATGCTTTAAAGGCAAAAGTCGGGCTCAATAAGGGGGTATTATGGCGATTGAAACTGAGTATAGAGATGCGAAGTGGAACGACAGTGGAGAAAAAACTGAGAAAAACCGTCGACAAGGCCGTTAACAAAACCCTCTTTCCCACTAGCAGTGAAGGAGGCTGGCTTGGGAAAGAGGCACGTACAAACAAGTTTTCTGGAAGATGTCTTGTGCTGTTCTATTCTGAGTAGGAAATCAGTTGGCAAAATTCAACTAAGGCTGATATCCACACTTATGCGGCCTATGGCCCACTTCCGAGGTGGTCGTCGGCAAAGCGACCCCAAGCGGCGAAAAGCCGCCATTATGAGCTTGCCTCCGGAAAGGCCTTATTGACTGTAGCGCCGTTCGGATTCTGAGCATGGTAACTGGTCTCTGGGTGGGATGCTGTTAGGTCCATGCAGCAGACCCGACGACGAAAGGGATTATGTTTGGTCCCGACGTGAGCCTGACTGCGTGGCCCTTTAAGAATGGATGGCGCCTTCAAAAAGGGGTTGACTAACGCCAAATGCGTTGCACTTCCATCCTTTAAAACAACAATCCCAGATCGAATTCAGTGTAATCGGTCAGTAATGAAATAGTGGATGTCAAGAAGGACGCGCAATGAAAAAACAGATGCAAGTAATAACCGCCGATGGACCCTTAAACAACAGGACTCCCCTCTGTTTCGCCGAGCCCTAAAGTTATTACGAGGGGCGGGTCGGACGAGTTCTGTGGCTTGCTTGCCAGAACCGTCAACCGACTTCCATTGTTTGGAAGAAAACATAGCTTCCAAACATTACAATTCCTGATGCAAAAACAGCGCACGTTTGATCAGGAAGCATTCAGTATTCCAGCGCAGGAGAGTTGTTATGGCGGCCCTCAAGGGCGTTGGCAACATGTTATCAGACCCTTTAGCGTGTCTTTCCCCAAGAGTGAGTTTTTTTCGCGCTTCAGTGACACAGTGTACCAGGATCTGCCCAACTCATTTCTCACACCATTATGGTCGACCTGCTGGGACCAGGGTGAAAATCTTATCGAAGACGTGGTTACCTCAGTACGACCCCCACAAATCGGGGTCTCGATACTAACTTTGATTTGATGTGAATAAGCGTGCTCCAATGATGTAGAGCAAAGCACTCAGTTGCAGCGCGGTGTATAACACACACGAGTGGTCAGATTTTGCCGAAACCCCGCTCGAAACCGTCGAAATCTACACTCTCGATGAAAAGGTTCCATTCCCCCATTTCACAACCTTTGGAGCAGTATGTGGTAGGGTTAGAGCTGGATTTGCTACTACCGGGCAATATTGAAATTGATCTGAAATCTTTACACTCGAAGAGATAGGGTCTCTTCAAATTTGTCGAGGGAGCGTCGAGGATGCCGTGAAATTTTCATGCGAGTTTTTGCCATTTAAAAGGCAATATCTTTCTCTCTATTTCCGTGAATCTGAAAAAGTGAAGAGCAGTTCTGGGAAAGCGGAAGGTTTGCGCTTTCTAACACTATGTTTAGCTTCCCTCTACATCCTTTAGTTGAGGAGATATTCGCGTCGAGGATCTATCGAGGATGATTCTCGGCCGCTCAAAAGCCGCTCCCTTCTTCACCATTGCAAGTGTGAATCGATAACAATGCTCGAAATGTGCCTAGAATACATTCTTTCAACATAAGCATTGAGAAAAGGGGCGATTCGTCATCATCCGATTTGTCTGGGTATAGGCCATGCATCCGACCTCCACTCAAGTTTGCAGAATCGATTGAAAGTCACATATGATCATGACCAGTTGACAGAAGCTGCATTGTAGTAAACACATTTCGTAACTCCTATAACCTAAAGAACAACTTCATTTGCCCAGGGCCTTTTCCTTCACGGTTGTCGTTTTTGCGACAGCGTCCCTAACAGTATTGAGGGCGAGGGAGCGGGCGGTAGATAGAGGAAATGCCTTCGCAGCGCGTGTGCACATGTGACCCTGTTCCTTGCAAAGATGCACTTTCATTCTTTGTATACTTTCAAATACTTCCTTCTCGAAGGTAGAGAGACGGAGCGACTAACCTGCAAAGGATATTTTATATCATTTTTTCTCATATCCTTGTTTTCTGCTGCGCTACACCCTATCCCTCCTATCTGCACCACGATGCCACTGACGTTACTGACCCCAAGAGTACGACCCCCCATGACCCAGCCCGACAAATACGACCCCCCTGTCGAGGATTTCCTCGACCGATATTCACCCTGGCTGGGACTGTTGCTTTTATACTGCAGTGTACTGTGTTGACTTCAAAGAAGAACCTAAACAATGAGTAATTCTTTATTGGCAGCACTCTTCAAGACATTTTGATTGGGCATTCACGGGTAAATAGTAAGTAAGTAGGTACCGTGAACAAGGCATAGAAATCAAATTATTCGACAGCGTCAGGATACAGCTGGTACTGATAGATACGTGACGACCTCAATCTCAAGACTATCATAATGTATGAATAGAACTATTTTGCACTTTGGACAGCTCTATTAGTACATGAGTGAGAAAAATGAACATCGATTATGCGAGCGCAAAATCAATGCTCATTTTAAAGCACGTGGAGGCACGTTGAAGTGTCGGAACAACTTATTGTTTGACAAAGGAGACTAGCAATTGCACTGGAAATCTTGTACACTCAAATAAGTTTCTCGATGGTCTTCTGATGCTCATCCGGTTTGTACAGTAGACCATTGTAAAGTCTGAAAGTGAAGAATTCCAATAATCTCCAAAATAACTCAGAAGATTCAGTGTTAGTTCACCTGTAGAAGCAGTCATGGCAATAAGGCCGTCTGTCGTGCTCTCTGAATGTGCCATGCATATTCAAAGCCTGAAATACGAAAATCTCACAATGGAGCAAAGTGAAAGTGATGGCACTTAGGCTGCGTCCATACTATGAACCCCCCCCCCTACAAAGCGCCGCTTGTAGTTGCGCGCGTGAAGGAGAGGCATGTGACCAGGAATATTACAAAATGGTGTCATTGCAGAAAAGGCAGGGATTATTGGAGGATGAGGCAAGGGAATGGTATTGTTTAGTGGGCGGAGTTTTGCCCGGAGCAGGTTCTGGTGGTGGACGAGATGTCGCGATGTGAAATAATGATGGATCAGATGTACGTATGTAAATTCAACGAGTAACAACCCAAAAAGCCAGTTTGAGGCTAGAGGCGGAGTGTGTGAGAGGGGAGTTTGCGTGAGGGCGAAGTTTCCCAAGTGGACGTCAGGCTCTAGATCGGTCAGGAAATGCGTGCGACTGGCAATACGCTTGGAAAAACTAGCAATACACATCTTCGTAGGCGGCCGGCTGCGAGTTCTCCGAGTATAAACGCAGTATTGCTGATTGTCTTGCTGGTCAAAACAGATTCAGTTCTGCCCGAAACTAACCTTTTGACAGTAGCAACACATAAAATGATATGTATGGAATTTTTGTGCTCGTTCAGAATTCGGTGCTAAGGCAGTCAGGATTGGACCATCGATTTCCTCACTGCAGTACGCGCACACAACTGGTGCCATCGGCGGTGGAGAGCCCTAAAAATAACATGGTCAGATCCGATTTTTCGCCTGTCCTCATAGCCGCCAGCTCTTATCAAGAAGAATTGGCAGGAATAATTCGCCTAGTTCATCAAGTGTTCAATATAGGAATTGATTACCTCGATTTGCAGCGTTCGCCTCGGCGTCTCTGATCGCGCGCGTGTGCGACGGAGGCTGTTCGTCTGGCTCTCGCTCATCGCCACGCCATAGTCGCGCGAGACCTCGTCAACCGTATACCTTTCTTCTGGTACTAAATATGATCCAAATATGATCTTTGAACAGAAATAAATGTACCGCTAAGCAAAAGAATCGCTGGATTCCACAGAACGCTTACTGTGTCGTGGCTTCGGTGAAGGGAACGGGCGCTCCTGTTCAGGCTGTGGTGATAGTCTCAGATGATACTCGATCTCCTGGAAACATTAGAATCACTAGAAAAAGAAAAACGTGACAGCGCATGCTCAAGGATCTCTTTGAAAAATCGAAGCCATTTCAAATTGGCCTACGATTGTCGAGATATTCTCTTTCCTGAGACCCGAAAATTGGGGCCGTATTGGGTATATGGGGGACAAGCAAACTGATTCGAACATCAGTTGGCGTAAAGCAGTTGAAACAGTAGTTCTTGGAGTTTGACACTCACTCAAAATCCTCAGCATTTGCCAAATGCGCACTACACGAGGATTACTAGGAATTATTCGTCTTCGAACACTATTCTTTTTGCTCATAAACCTATACAAACTGTGCAAACTGCGGTCATTCTATCGACCCACACAAGGAAATTCAGTCATATCACAGATTAACAGCAGTGAAAATTCTCCCCTACTTGAAGGCAGATTTTACAGAGAAAACGCAGCCCATTAAAAACTTCAGTTAGCAGAGGGTTCCATCGATGGCACGAAAGAAGAAAAACCCGAGAAAAACACTGAGAGAACCAAGAAGAAAAAAGAACCTAGGACCCAAGAAATGGACCCTCCCTTGCCCGATTTGCGCGTTAATGCGACTTTCAACGGCTAGGGGGTCGAACACCGAGAGAGGAGGTACCATCCGATAGCGCACCAATAGCATTGCGGGGAAGGCCATACTAGATCGCCGAAGGCATATCTTCGCTGTGAAGGCGTGTCGGTCCGCATAGAGGTCCGCCTGTCTTTCCACTAGGTAAGTTTCTCCTTCTCCGGCATTCGGCCTTATTTTGAAACCTCCTTTGAAGACAGCGAGTACAATAACGTAAATCTGCATCCAGGGAAGTACGTTCCGTATTGAAATATAATCATATAAATAACATGGATTGTCACCAATTTCAACTAATATTTATCATCTATCAGCTATCACTACAAATTACTAAATATCAGATCTACTTGGAGGCTGGCCTCACTTGTGTTGTAACGTCTGTGGTGTAGACTTCCCTGGCCGCCGGGTACGAAGGGTATGTAGTTCACTGGTGGAAGAGGTAGCCAGGTGATAAACAAAGCAAACTTTGCCGTTTTTGCAGCGGAAGGTGCTCTAGTTGCAAGGCAGTTAGGCTTCAAATCTGAATTTGGCTTCGTCCCCGAATTGCCAAGCTTCCATGTGTCTCCGGGGCAATTTGGGGGCAGAGCCTCGAGGGGCTTTTGCGATACCGCCATGACTATCGCTTGATATTCATCTCGCAGGTGCATTCAATCCAAACAGTCGTATATTCCAATCTTCTTGTTTCTTATACACATTCAGTCGGGCCTGGCACCTAGAGCTCCAGCATCTAATCCGTAAACCTTACATGGTAATTAACAGACAGAAAGAAAGCATTTGATGTATCTACTTTTGAATTTGATCCACACTGAGCCTACAATCGCAACCTCTGAATTGATTTTATTTATTTTAGAAATAAAGAGCCAGAATCCTTTCAGAAGGAATTCAAAAGGAACAGCTTCACCAGAAACAAGAAATTGAAGCGCTGAGCGGAGCTTACTGCCTATGTTTATGTGCCGCCTCTTCAACTACCGTATGCCCATTACCCAGCTGAAACGTTATTTGAGATTCACCTCTTTCTGAACGCTCTTTTTGCCGTCTCTTCCTCGTCCATGTCCTCGTCTGAGCACCTCAGCTGTCGCGTTCACATCGTACACAAGCGCTGCCAATGTGTCTGTTACAGCGTTCTGGCCTGAAATTGAACCCGGAATCATTTTCAGTAAGAAATCGTGGGAAGGACTCACGTTGATCTTCCTTTATCTTTCCAAGTTCGCGATTCATATCTTCGGTCGAAACAGCCTGGAAAGAACTTTCTTATCCCGAAGTGAAATTGTGCTGATAGCCAGAAGTACTCACTCTGAGTCGCGTGCTCAAGAACTCGTCCGTTGGTGAGACAGAAACTCGTCCAGTGACCTCCATTTCCGTTTGGAACTGGCGACGCTCCATACGCTTAAGTTAAGAGATTTATGTCTCTCTGAGCTATGAACGTCTACGCTTTGCGGTGCGACCACTGCGCAGCAGTGCAGTGTCCAGTAGCTGCAGGACCTGTAGAACTACATTTTGTGAGTATCAATTCTCTACTTACCATCTGTTGCCCTCTTCTCCGAATGACCTCCGTTGTCTTTTCGACGTCGTCTTTCAACGCGGTGAGAGTGCCATTGACAATTTCATCCTCTGAAAGTGCTCCTTCATGTCATGAAACACATTCCAGTTATAGCTTATTTCGCGAATAAGTCACTGAGTGACCCTCCTCGAGAATGAACTAGCTGGGACAAGGACCACGAGGCAGTACCACTTTCGTGACTAAAAGCACGTCGAAAAGGCATTAGGGGCTTACGGTAATATACAGCCACATATCAAGCTCAAACCGCTTACACTTCCGGATGGTGTCTATGTTCCGCGCCATTAATAGCAGGAAGAGAGGCGGATCCAGTTAGGTGCGGACCGACACGCAGTTCGTAGCTAAGGAGATGCCCTTAGCAACCTAGCATGGCCCTCCTGCTGGCGCTATCGGCGCTGTGCACGTCTCTCTCTCTCTCGCTGTGCACTACCCTCTAGCCATAGCTAGCTAACGCTCTCTCTACAATTAGCAGAGAGAGCGTTAGCGTTGAAGAGAGCAGCACCGGTGAGAGCTGCATCAGTGCGAAAACCGACGGGCAAGGAAGGGGTCTCGTAATGCGAGTTCTAAAAAAAACGACGGGCAAGGAAAGGGTTCTCGTAACGCGAGTTCTAATCCGTTTCTCATGGTTTTTCTTCGCCTCGGCACGACTGAACAGCCTACCCTAATTCGAGGACTGTCTTATGATCACATTCTTCCTCTGAAGCAAGAACATGTGCGCAACTATGGACTCATTTTTGAGCCCTGTATCGTTAGTTATTTTTATCGCGAGATAGTTTCAATGCGAAACTCACGTTGGCTCGGTTCTTCTTCATTGCGGAACACTTTGTTACTGCTGCGACTTTCGCTACGCCATCTGGCCACGTGTCGATCCACTGGATCCGGAATCGTTGACGCACGAGAATCACTACGGTACTCTAAAACTAGGCACACCCTTAGTTAATCAGATAGAAGAACAGATCCACTTATGATAGTCTTTGAACAGCTTCTTTTTTCAAACTGTAAAAAAATTATACCATCTCGCTTTTTATGACCCGTCAACTATACTGTAAATAATTATTTTTTTAATACCTCTTCGGTTCCCAATAAGCCCACTCCGTACCGTCTTGGGTCTTCGGTTGAGGTTGGCGGACCTACTAAGCTGGTATCCGGAGTCGCGATCCCTCCCCGCGGCTTGCAGTGTTTGGCCGGGGCACTGCCCTTCCTCTTCCTTCCGACCCTTGGCCCCATCCCCCCTCCCCTAATTATTCTTTTGTATCATGCTATTATGACTTTTTTTTACTGTAAACATGTACCTTACTATCTCCTCATTGTGAATATTACGGCAACAGTAAATAAATAAATAAATAAATGAAAATCTATATACGTCTATATATCACTGGTGAAAAGCCAGCTATTGGTTGGCTATGAGATTGGGGATTATTGGGATGTGTCCAGGCGTTTTGTGAATAATACAGTGCGTACCAAAAGTATGTGGACACCCTGGAATCGATTCTCAGGGGGTCAGCTAAAGGCTTTTATGTCATGAAACCTC